GGATACACAGGATGTACTGCACTTATTCCAAAACTATTTTCCTTTATTCCATTTTAATTTCTATTTCCATTCTTGATCTTTTTGCTGTGTTGCGTTGTGCTACAAGAGCAGTACAAGAGTGCACTGGACGGGGTGGGGGACAAGGATGAGCGACTGTGTGTGTGTCTGTCCTGAGCCCCTCCCACCTCCTGTATAAAGGCTCCCAGTCTGGTGTGTAGGAGCTATTAGCAGAGTGACACAGCTGCCTCACAGAACCAGTGGCAATTTCAAGAGAACTGTGGAGTACTATTTTACAGCTGATTGATCTTTCCCATCCATCTGATATTTGTCAAAGAATTACAGGTATGTTTTAAATAAATGAACGATAAGTGCAAATAACTTGGCTTTTGGACTCTTGTGTAAGCAAGTACCAGTGTGGCACATATAGGAATACTGTATGAGGGAGTTTTACATGCACTGAGGGACAAGAGGAAATCCATGAAGTTAAATATCAATTCATGGCATAAATAAATAACTAACATGTTTTCTCTACTCTCCACAGGAGTCAAAATGCAATTGATCTTCCAGTCCTTTCTCTCGTGCTGTCTGCTGGCGACAGTAGCACACTGTGTGGAGCTTCAAGTGAATCCGGAGTTGAAAGAAATGTGCGTTAACTGAGTAATCCAGTCAACAATCAAAATGTTTTCATTTGATATAAGATGTGACAGTCTGCCAAGTCTGTGACAGCTGTCTGCTGAATTATCTACCTAAGACTAACTAAGAGTTTTGTTTCCCTCTCCCAGGCGAAGCATATGGCTCGGGAGCAGATTGAGACGGGATCTTGACAGTGTATCAGTAGAGAAGACAGCAGAGTCTGAGAACTTTGTCAGACCAGAAGATATCAGGGATACTTTGCTGCCACATTCCAGGTAAGACATTCACCATGCTATCTTGAAAGTCTGCAAACTGTCTCCATTTGGCCATCATACAGTGGGTACGGAAAGTATTCAGACCCCTTTAAATTTTTCACTCTTTGTTTCATTTCAGCCATTTGCTAAAATCAAAAAAGTTCATTTTATTTCTCATTAATGTACACTCAGCACCCCATCTTGACAGAAAAAACAAATGTAGAAATTTTTGCAAATTTATTAAAAAAGAAAAACTGAAATATCACATGGTCATAAGTATTCAGACCCTTTCCTCAGTATTGAGTAGAAGCACCCTTTTGAGCTAGTACAGCCATGAGTCTTCTTGGGAATGATGCAACAAGTTTTTCACACCTGGATTTGGGGATCCTCTGCCATTCTTCCTTGCAGATCCTCTCCAGTTCCATCAGGTTGGATGGTGAACGTTGGTGGACAGCCATTTTCAGGTCTCTCCAGAGATGCTCAATTGGGTTTAGGTCAGGGCTCTGGCTGGGCCAGTCAAGAATGGTCACAGAGTTGTTCCGAAGCCACTCCTTTGTTATTTTAGCTGTGTCCTTAGGGTCATTGTCTTGTTGGAAGGTGAACCTTCGGCCCAGTCTGAGGTCCAGAGCACTCTGGAAGAGGTTTTCTTCCAGGATATCTCTGTACTTGGCCGCATTCATCTTTCCTTCAATTGCAACCAGTCGTCCTGTCCCTGCAGCTGAAAAACACCCCCATAGCATGATGCTGCCACCACCATGTTTCACTGTTGGGATTGTATTGGGCAGGTGATGAGCAGTGCCTGGTTTTCTCCACACATACCGCTTAGAATTAACGCCAAAAAGTTCAATCTTGGTCTCATCAGACCAGAGAATCTTATTTCTCATAGTCTGGGAGTCCTTCATGTGCTTTTTGGCAAACTCTATGCGGGCTTTCGTATGTCTTGCACTGAGGAGAGGCTTCCGTCGGGCCACTCTGCCATAAAGCCCCGACTGGTGGAGGGCTGCAGTGATAGTTGACTTTGTGGAACTTTCTCCCATCTCCCTACTGCATCTCTGGAGCTCAGCCACAGTGATCTTTGGGTTCTTCTTTACCTCTCTCACCAAGGCTCTTCTTCCACGATTGCTCAGTTTGGCTGGACGGCCAGGTCTAGGAAGAGTTCTGGTCGTCCCAAACTTCTTCCATTTAAGGATTATGGAGGCCACTGTGCTCTTAGGAACCTTGAGTGCTGCAGAAGTTCTTTTGTAACCTTGCCCAGATCTGTGCCTTGCCACAATTCTGTCTCTGAGCTCCTTGGGCAGTTCCTTCGACCTCATGATTCTCATTTGCTCTGACATGCACTGTGAGCTGTAAGGTCTTATATAGACAGGTGTGTGCCTTTCCTAATCAAGTCCAATCAGTTTAATTAAACACAGCTGGACTCCAATGAAGGAGTAGAACCATCTCAAGGAGGATCAGAAGAAATGGACAGCATGTGAGTTAAATATGAGTGTCACAGCAAAGGGTCTGAATACTTATGACCATGTGATATTTCAGTTTTTCTTTTTTAATAAATTTGCAAAAATTTCTACATTTCTGTTTTTTTCTGTCAAGATGGGGTGCTGAGTGTACATTAATGAGAAATAAAATGAACTTTTTTGATTTTAGCATATGGCTGCAATGAAACAAAGAGTGAAAAATTGAAAGGGGTCTGAATACTTTCCGTACCCACTGTATATATTTTTTGTCATAGAAAAGGAAGACTCAATTTAAGCAGAGAATACTCAGCCATTGACAACTCAGGACTGAACAGCATGGATTAATATTCTCTCCTTCTCCCTCTGTCCTCCAGCACTGACATCAATGTCCGAACCAAGAGGTCTAAACACTCAGGCAATCAGTCAAGAAGACAAGGTTGTTCGCTGGGCACCTGTGCAGTGCATGACCTCGCGCACCGCCTGCACCAGCTCGGTAACAAGTTGAAGATCGGGAGTGCCCCTGTCGACAAGTTCAGCCCACAGGGAAAGCCGCCACACTAGAATAATACTATAATTTACTGTCACTTAAAGAAGTGTATTGATAACAACAGTTATCAACAGTTGATTTACTGGATATAAGGTATCGACTGACTGGAAAAAACTTGCAGAAATGGTAGATTAAATATATGGAATAGCAACTGATGCAGAATATTTCCATCAGTATTATGTTCAGCAGGTTATATAATCATATACTACTTCTCTATACTTGCTGCCCTCTTTTTTCAGTATAATAATTTTGATTTATCAGAAGGATTTCTGCCAGGGACACTTCTGTCATCTTTCACCGCAAATCAACTACTTGTCAAATATGCCACCTGTACAAAAAAACACTAGTTGTATTAAAGTACACTACACAAATATATATTTTACCTGACTGTATCACAAAGCTGCTCCAACTGCAACATTAAAATGATCAGGGGTTATTTCATGGACTCACATAATTGTATGCGCTTTTTAAAGCAACTTCATATAATGCTTCAATCTTCTGGTAAGTGACAAAAGGTTATAAAAAAAATCAACATTGGTGCTGTCTAAGACAATAGTTTGTGTTTTAAAATAGCTCTTTCAAGCTGAACATGGCTGTGTTTTGACATACAGTACAATGTGCAGGACAGGATAAATTCATGGGATTAGTGCAAAATATTGAAATTTATGAAAATAGGAAAAGCTGTCACAAGGAATAGCACATGGAAACCAGTACTCTAGCTAATTTTGAGAGAACTGCAAAAACTACAACAGCAGAAACTTAAAGCAATTTCCACTGCGTTCTCTCTCACTCTTCTGCTCTTTTCTCAACTCCTCTAGTTTTCTTTGTCTCTCTTTCTCTCTGTCCCACTTACTGTTTTTGTTTGCTGGTAAACGGAAGATGCAGATGTAGTCAAAATAGTTGAACCAGAGCCAAAACATGAAGAAATGCAGTGTTTGCATAATAGTGTTTGTAATTACACAAGAATGATAGGAAAGTCATGGGACATAACACAACACACATTTCAAGGTGACACACATTATAGGCATTCTAATAATTATGAATCACCTGTCAGATTTGTGCTTTTAGGATTGACACACTGTTTGCTGGCACACCTGGCATCAGTTGCTCAGGTTTCCTGCCACACGTACCTGCTCTTACGAATACAAGGACCAACAAAAACTGTCATCCGACAGCAACTTCATGGAGGACAAACAAAATATTTCTATATAAGGAGCTAAAAAGCAACAGCAGTATTGTGTTGTCATGATTTCACAATCTCCTGTTGTAAACTAAACTAAGGAGAAAACGTATCTGCTGGAGGCAATTATCACTACAAAGTGCTTACAAAACATTTGCTGGTTTACAGCACATGTGTTTGACATTTATGTATTCTTTGCGTTGGGTCACATGAGATATAAATACACTCCGGAAGGTTCTGCACCGGGGACTAAAAACAACACGATATGAATAATAGAATGCTGATATGCCAGAGTGGAATGTCATGTGTTAAGTATTTCTATAAAGTTATGTTGAAAGAGCCCACGGGAGGGTTTTTCCCCTTCATTGAAACTGAAACAAAAATCCAAACTGAAAGCATTACTTAGAGCAATCCCAAAAACTCTAATTGACACTATACCTTGTGGAAGTTTCTGCAGTGGAATTTCTACACTGATAAAACCGAATGTTTCTTCTCTGGTATTTACAGAATTGCACACACTGACTGAAGGGGCGTATGATTTCAATCTTTTGGGCATCACATGCTCAGTGTTTCTGAGGTATAGGTTATCTCTTCTCAACAATATGCCCATCTCAGACACAGACCGATCTAGCTGTTAGCTATGAAGGTTGTGATAAACAAAAACGTGTGATCTCCGTAACGCGTTATTTGTGATAGTACTTTCTGTGTATGTTTCCCCTCTTAGGGGCTTATTATCCACATCTGCCTCATGAGCCGCACCGACCGGTGGTGGTTTCCAGCCTTACAGACCAATCATGAGTAAAAGTCAAAGAAAGAAATATCCTTTTTTTCTGAGTTACTTTGACTTATTTAGCTTTAACTCTTGGTGTAAAACTTCTTCAGGTTTAGAGTGACTCACTGTACTGACCATCCCATAAAGTCCAATAATGTGAGAGGGTGAGACGTAGAGGCAGACTTGATGACTCTCTTGTTTTTCTTCAATAGATTGGGTATGCATTCCTGAGGTAAAAATTGAAGTCGTATTAGTTATAATTTATAATAGCACAAAATCAGCAGGACTATTTTAAAAAAAATGTCTAAGCCAATATTGTTCGTATGTCTTAGATTGTTGTTCAAGTTCATTTTCTGACTCTAGATTCATTTTGAGTTAAATTGTAAAATTCCATTTATCATTTATCCAAATATCAAAATAAATGGTAAGTCCGGGGTCAAATATTTGCCTTGTACAAACAGATACATTGAATATATTGTGTTTACAGTTGGGCATACTTACTATATTTAATCAGTTACTCAATGCTTGTCTTTTTCCAAATCTCACATTCATCATCCAGTGTGCTTTCAAAGCTAACATGGAACTTCACTGTGTCAGGGAGTGCCCTGAAAAGCAGACTGTGGAAACATTCCTTAAATTCTATTTTATACAATTAGCCAGTTAAATTGAAAGGAACGATGACAAAAACTATTTCTAACTGACCTTATTAAAGTTCAAATATCACAAGATGAATGTTCAAACTTTTTCTTTTGTGAGTATTTATATTTATAATACCCTTCCCCCTATAGCAAGCAGTCAGTTGAGATGAACACATAGTATTTTTACTGGGACATTGTGTAGTACAGTATGGGACTTACATAACTGATGACCATTGATTTGTTGCCATTTTATCCACATACTGAAATATAACAAATAAAACATTTTCTGAGAACTGTAGAACTTTGTTGATGCATCGTTTATACTGAGCCGTGAAAAAGTTAATGTTTTGACTCAGTGAACACAGGATACACAGGATGTACTGCACTTATTCCAAAACTATTTTCCTTTAT